AGCACTTTGGACAATAGGAGCCTGTTCTTGATTGCGGCCTTTGGATTCTACCACAATATACCTAGTTAAAACAATAAGCTGGTTTTACAATATACCTAGTTAAAACAAGCCCCAAAATTAAGACATTTTGGAAAGCTGTTGGAGACTCTATAAGGGAGATAACAGGGTGTCAACTGTTAGATAACTCTTTAGTATGTATATTAACTTGTCTTGAAAACTCTGTATCTTATAAAAGCCATAAAGAATTGATCACTCCTAGTTGTTGCTACAATTACTACAGCAAAGTGGTGGAAGAGGAGTGACTGCCCTCTAAATCTATTGGCTGGTATCAAAAAGTATGGGAAATTCTGATACTAGAATACTTATCCCGTCAAGGCAGAGGTTTAGAGGGGAGAAGCAAAAAAGATAATTACTTACAAATCTGATGGAAATTTTTGGAGTTTCCTGGAAGAGGGTCATCACCCGCCATCATGTCTGGTAGTTTGAGAACTTTCTTTGAAAATGAAGGAAGGGAGAAACCCCTTTAATAGTCAGTTAAACTCAAAATTAAGATAATAAAATAAGGAAGATAGATAGGAACCATCTTACTACTAGTCATAACCTTTATTTTTATTGGCTTGTTTATACTAGATAAACCTATTTTAATAAATCCTATAGCAGTATTCCAGCATCTTAAATGTCTTATCTTAAGTATAAAACACAACAAAAAATTAAGTTATTTAATCTCTCTAGATCAGGGATCTGCAACCTTTGGCACGCAGCCCATCAGAGAAAGCTGCTGGCAGGCAGGGACGGTTTGTTTACCTGCAGCGTCCGCAGGTTTGGCTGATCACAGCTCCCACTGGCCGCGGTTCGCCGTTTCAGGCGTATGGGGGCTGCGGAAAGCAGCGTGGGCCAAGGGATGTGCTGGCCACTGCTTCCCGCAGTCCCCATTGGCCGCAGATGGCGAACCGCAGCCAGTGGGAGCTGTGATCAGCCGAACCTGCGGACACTGCAGGTAAACAAACTGTCCCGGCCTGCCAGCAGCTTTCCCTGACAGGCCGCGTGCCAAAGGTTGCCGATCCCTGCTCTAGATGAATAATTGGATGTAACTAATTTTAAAATGATCCTTTGGGTAGATCCCATTTGTGAGCTAAAATGATTAGAAGATGTCATGTCTCATTCTTTATTTTTCCCTAAATATTTTAATAAATATCCATTTGTTTTTCATAGCAGTATTAGTTTATAATAGCACTAAATGGTGATTTTCCCACTCTCTTCTTTTCAAACATGCTAACTTAAATTAATAGATTTTTTTGTTTTGTAAACATTTTTAACAGAATTTCATGTATCTTATTTACTGTTGTCAGTAATCATTTTAAGGGTTTGCATCTCAGTTGGCCAAACTGTATAGGTTACCTTACATAAATAATGGACAAAGTGGGAGTGTCATAAAGATCATTAATACAACACACTCACTCTTCTGCCCTGGTGGTAGAAAAGCTGTAGCAGACAAATGGTAGCATTTTATGCCCACTTTCCACTGATGTAAATGACTGCACAAGTTTCGTGACAGTGATGAATGGGAAGTTAGATGCTGACAGTTCCAAATGGAGGGGGGAGAGCCTACCGCAACTCTTTATAGCTGGGTGGGTTTCAGTACAGTGTGAGAGTCATCAGTATTTCTGCTATTAACTTCTACGTTTCTGTGTCCTGCTGCTCAACACACATGCATTCCACTGAAGTAAATAGAACTATGCTGATTCACACTAGCTAAGCATCTGGTCATCTAAGTGAATTCCTTTAACAGTAACTCTGATCCTCCATGTTGGTCTTTAGCCAAGCTGAACCAGCATAAAGATAAGGGTGAAAACAGGACAAACAACCGGATCATATTTGCAAAGAGGAATAAAAAGGGATTCACATGTTGTTGGGGAAGTGTATAAGGCCCTATATGCTTCTCATGCCTCAAAAACAGGGGAGGGAAACTTTCCACACTACCAGAGACATCAAGTACAGATTTCTGAGGCAGATAAAACTAGATGCTTTGTAGAAATACTGGTTTCAGAGTAACAGCCGTGTTAGTCTGTATTCGCAAAAAGAAAAGGAGTACTTGTGGCACCTTAGAGACGAACCAATTTATTTGAGCATAAGCTTTCGTGAGCTACAGCTCACTTCATCCGAGTGAGCTGTAGCTCACGAAAGCTTATGCTCAAATAAATTGGTTCGTCTCTAAGGTGCCACAAGTACTCCTTTTCTTTTTGTAGAAATACTGTACATAGGTGCACACTTTAGCAGGGCTGGCAATTTGGTGTGTGGTTTTGTCCTTTGGCCATAAGATGGCAGTAAAGCTACTTCTGTTGTTTTACTTTCTCGGCAATATTGCACTGTTCACCTGGATTACTGTTCTTCACTATCTCTGTCACTCCAGTTTCACTCACAGTCAAAATATTTATCTTCAGCCAAGCTATGAATTTTTCCAATTTAGGTCATAAATATTTGCTTTGAGGAAGTGGAATTGTCTAGAGATTAGAGTACAGAAGTGGGAGTCTGGAGATCCAGTTTCTATTTACATTTCTGCCACAGATTTGTTGTGTGACTTGGGTCAGTTGCCATGCCTTGGTTTCCCCATGTTGTTTACTTATTGTAAATAGTTTAATCTGTTTGCTTTCTGAAACAGCTGAAATTAAAGTTGGCATTTGTTTTCCAGTCAGTCATGAACAAGATTAAAAGAAAAAGAACAGCATCTTTACTAAATTAAAGCTTTTTGTTGCAATTATTATTAGTGCTGGTGCTTTGGTTTCTGATGCTCAATATTATTAATAAAGGGAGAGATTATCAAAGGCACTAAGGACTCCCACTGAAAGTGAACAGGAGTTAGGCACCTAGCTGTTCTTCATGCCAGTGTAAATCTTCCCCATAATCTGTTTCTTACCTATGATTTGTGTGGTTATTTTAAAGATGAAATTTTGTGAGATTTTATTGCACTATTTTAGTTCATGTTCTTGTAAAGATTCAGTATTGAAAGTTGAAACTCTGTTATCCACCTGCTCATGGTAGTGTCTAAGCTGGAAAACAGAGAGATCTGTACAGGCAATGGATAGGTCAGGGGATTGGTAATGAAATGTAAAAACTTTCACCTACAAATTATTGGTTCATATCTGGCCCAAACTGGCATTTATGAAAAGTCATTATCACCATCTGGCTTTTGAAGTAGGAAGCTATTGTGAAAGGAGTTGAGGGTCCCAGTCCTGTCCTTTCTTCGGTCATGTCTACACTTACAAGCTTACAGTGTACTAAAGCAGCTGTGCCACTGTAAGATTGCTCATGTAGCTGCTGTATGCCAATGGAAGAGAGCTCTCCCATTGACATCACAAAACCAGCTTAACGAGCAGCGATAGCTATGTTGGTGGGAGAATATCTTCCGCCAGCATAGCACTATGCACACACGCGTTTATGCCAGCAAAACTGTCACTCAGGGGTGTGTTTTTTCACACCCCTGAGTGACAAAAGTTTTGCTGACGTAAGTGCTAATGTAGACATGGCCTTAGTTAATAGGTAGCCACAAAACCACTACTGTCAATATGCTTGTTGGAAGTTTTAGTGGAGAGCTCAAGGATTGACGGGATAGAGACTAAATGACTCCCTCACTCCTTACATGTGTGTCTTACAGGCCAAGTGCCATTCCCTGTACTGTGGGTAGAAGACTTCAGTCTCCAGGGCTGCCAGTCTGGTATCTTTTTTTCAGTACAGGGAAGCTGTTGTCCATTTCCCACTCCAGTAATACATGAATCTCAGCCTGGAAGAGCCCACTTCTCTCTATAGCTGACCACTAATCCAGTGTTCGTACTAAATCAATGGAGACCATTGCTTTGATAGCCTGACAGTCTTGCTGAATCATGGCTTTTTAACAGTCCTGCCTTACATGGAATGAACTAGGACCACCACATGTATAATCTGACAGCAAGACGGATTTGAGTCAGCATCTCAGAGACGAAAGCCAGAACCATATTCAGTCAGCTAACATGCCATTACACACAAGTTTTTAAGAGCTAAGTTGCTAATTTCCCTTCAGTTATGAAAGTGTAGTGACAGGTGCATTGCAGTGTGCACGCTGTTTGGCCATGCAAAGTCTTTTCAGATCTTTCAGTTAAGAGGCACAATGCTGGAAATTTGAAATGCATTAACCTATCACTTCACTAATTTTCTTTTCCCTCTCACTGTGTGTAATTAGAATTGTATTGGTCACCACCGTACGTCTCCATCTTTTGAAAGAGTTGCAACCCAATGCATTCCTTCCTCAGAATTGTGGTGGTTTAGGTGTGAGGGTTGTAATGCAGAGGAAGGAGTGAAGAAATCCTCAGCCCTCAAATGAGGATTCAGAGGACCACTCCTGTCCCTGCCAGGAGGGAGATTTCTTGCATCACAGGAGGCATGTGTCTGTCAAACACAGGGAAATATACTGGCTTTGTCATTGAGATTGCTACAGTCTAGCTCTCTGCCTTTTGGTCATTGTCACTTTTATTGTACACAGTGCCGCCCAGCATAGGATGTAGCTTATTCAAAATAATAGCAATAATGGGTCAAATCCTGACCCCTTCCCTGCAGTTCTAGAGGGCCTTGCCTGTAGCAGAACTGCTGTGGTTCAGTTGTTTGAGGGAGGAGGTCCTTGGGTGCAGTGGGGAGAATCCCCTCCAGGGAATTCATTAGTGCAAAGTCCAGATATTAGAGCTGTGTGTCAATAACAGGAATCACCCTGAATGATGGTTGAAATGATTATACAGTGAAACCTGTATTGGAGGTCACACTTATTAGGGAATTTCTTCTCTTAAGAAACTGCCCCAAAGTGTATCTCCAAACCTAATTAATACAATTTCCCTCCACCTTTCTTAGAAGACCATCAATATCCAAGCAACCAAGCAACAGCTTGGGTGCTCATCTAAACTCCACATTTCTGGGGAATAATGATTTCCAGGTAGGGTTTACTTGTGTCACATCATTTTATGTTGTTTTTCCCCTAGTTTGAAATTAGGCAGTTGAGAGCCCACCTAGCTCAGCAAGATCTGGACCTAGCTGCTGAGAGGGAGGCTGCACTGCAAGTACCCCACATGCTGAGCAAACAGAGCAGCAATAGATATAAGGTAGTGGCAACTGGAGACTCAGATGATGAGGCCACTGAGAATATCACCGAGTTACGACCACCACGAGGTGAGTGCTATGTATAGTACTAATTGCTTCTGCTGTTACCTTACATGGAATTGTTGAATTCACTGATTATTCTCATTTTACAAGTGAATTGATTACATTCCCTGGAGACTGCACTTCCCCATTTGCAAGGAAGCCAGGTCTGCTTCAAAGTGGCAGATGTTCTATTTGTGAACAAATTCCAGCCAGAGCCAATAAACTGACCCTGGAAGAAAATGACTATGATGCTCTCCTTCATGGTTTTGATGCTTATACCCAACAAGCACTAAAGTGCAGCAGCCAAGTCAGAATTGGCAAAAAAATATTCGCTCAGTGATAAAAGCTTGGAAATCAGGAGGAACATTGGAAAACATTATCAGCCTTGGGACCACCCACATTTCTGTGATTTGAAGCAGGCACAGGGCAATTTTGAATTGATGTCACATCTCACATCTGCTTGTCTGTCTGTGGAGCAACCTGGTCTCAAAATATTTTTATTAATAGTCAAATAGTAATATTTACAGTGAAACACACTTTATAGGGATTTTTATAGTAACAAATTAAATATGTTGGGCCACATTTGTCCCTGATGTCGTCAGCACCATTACATTAGGGATTTATTTGACCTATTGTGCTAACGAGCCCAGTTTTTAAACATGGTCACCTAGGATGAAGACCCTATTTCTCCAAATCACCATACATATATAAACATACACACATCCCTAATATGAATGTGTCTGATTTTAGTACCCAAATGCGGAATTATGCACCCTCGCTTTGGTACCTAATTTTAAATATAGGGATCCATAGAAACCCTGCATCTTCTGTAGTATTCTGGGAGCTGTATAATATACTGTGAACATTAACACTGGGTTAGCAAACAGTAAAAACAAAGACGTATTCAGTGTGGAGAAGTGGTGAATAGCTACACACCTGAACTAAATCAGGAGATCTATCTAGTCTTCACTGTTGTACAGGCTGTAGATGTTACCTTTTTCCTGGTGTGAGCATGAATCTGTGAGACTAGCACTCTGACCTATTCACATTAGTATGTCCCATAACCGTGCACTGTATATTGCTAATGAAGGAGGGGAATGCCATGTGTCAGCTTGTTGAAATGGAATAAGTAATATGTTCACCAAAAGTGTAGGTGCCTTTTCATGACATGAGCTGTGAATGTACAATTCACAATGCACAGTTCTTGTTATGGAAACAGGATCTTGTTCACATGGCACCCTCACCATACATTCAAAGGCATAGAACGTGGCATTGTGATTGTTGGACGTGCATCAGGTGTTAAAGGTACCTCTTGCTCTTTTATCCCATTGTGTGTTACAACATGGCCCTGGTTATAAAAAGAGTTCTGTACCAATTTTTGGAAGTCAGTATATTGCTAAAGAGTATTGGTATTTATGAAGCAAGAGTATGAATATAAAGAGATAAATATATGTAATTGACTTCTTCACTAGGAGAACATTTATTGGGGTTCATATACTGCAGCAGCGGTGTATACGATGCATGACATGACTAAACCTACTGCTGTTACTATCATGTCACCTCAATGCTTGTTTTGTGACTGTCTTGCTGACAAGGCAGTGAGGCACTTTAATCTTTGGGACACACCAGTTGCCATGCTTATCCAGCGTGTTGCACATTACCCAGTAGGGATGAGCAAGTGACCAGACACTTAAAGTGAAGCTCACTTTGTGATTATAGTCTCTTCATAGTCAAAATGTAGCTCAAAAAGCTATAGATGACTTGGGTGCAATGCTGTGCTTGGATGAAAGCAGCTATGAAAACTGAGGATGCAAGAACTGAAGCAATATATGCTGTGGGCAAAGTTCTGTTTTTCTTTTACATGTCTAAGCTGCAAAGCTATGGGGTATGAGTACCGGTGGTACAGTGGGCCTGTGACTTATTCTGTTGGCTTAGAGGAAGACAGGTCAAGGGAACTGTGGAGTACTAGCAGATATATTAGCCGGGGTCCCCTTCTAGCATTCCAGGGACTGGAATCTTACCTAGCTGGTACTTATCTGTACAATATAGGGCAGGGTTTTACTCTGCATCTGGACCTAACAGAAGCATCTGTTCCATAACATTTCTACCACATGAGTATATAACCCACATAATGATGTTAAAGCTGATGAAAGAAATTAACTAAATTTCAAAAGATTTGGGATAATAGAATCATAGAATCATAAATTGTAGGACTGGAAAAGACCTCAAGAGGTCTTCCAGTCCAGTCCCCTGCACTCAAGGCAGAACTAACTATTATCTAGACCATCCCTGACAGGTGTTTGTCTAACCTACTCTTAAAAATGTCCAATGACAGAGATTCCACAACCTCCGTAGGTTTATTCAAATTTATTCCAGTGCTTAACTACCCTGACAGGAAGTTTTTCCTACTGTCCAACCTAAACCACCCTTGCTGCAATTTAAGCCCATTGCTTGTCCTATTCTGAGAGGTTAAAGAGGACAATTTTTCTCTCTCCTCCGTGTAACAACCTTTTATGTACTTGAAAACTGTTATCATGTCCCCTTTCAGTCTTCTCTTCTCCAGACTATACAAACCCAATTTTTTCAATCTTCCCTCATAGTCATGTTTTCTAGACCTTTAATCATTTTTTGTTGCTCTTGTCTGGACTTTCTCCAATTCGTCCACATCTTTCCTGAAATGTGGCACCCAGAACTGGACACAATACTCCATTTAAAGCCTAATCAGCTCAGAGTATAGTAGAATAATTATTTCTCATGTCTCACTTATAACACCCATGCTAATACATCCCAGAATGATGTTTCCTTTTTTTGCAACAGTGTTACACTGTTGACTCATATTTAGCCTGTGGTCCAGTGTGACCCCCAGATCCCTTTCCGCAGTACTGCTTCCTGGGCAGTCATTTCCCATTTTGTACGTGTGCAACTGATTGTTCCTTCCTAAAGGGAGTACTTTGCATTTGTCCTTATTGAATTTCATCCTATTTACTTCAGATTATTTCTCCAGTTTGTCCAGATCATTTTGAATTTTAATCCTATCCTCCAAAGCACAACCCCTTCCAGCTTGGTATCGGCCGCAAACTTTATATGTGTACTTTCTATGCCATTATCTAAATCATTGATGAAGATATTGAACAGAACTGGACTCAGAACTGATCCCTGCGGGACCTCACTTGATGTGCCTTCCAGCTTGACTGTTAACCACTAATAACTACTCTCTGGGAATGGTTCCAACTAGTTATGCACCCACCTTATAGTGGCTCCATCTAGGTTGCATTTTCCTAGTTTATTTATGACAAGGTCATGTGAGACAGTATCAAAAACCTTACTAAAGTCAACATATACCACATCTACTGCTTCCCCCCTATCCACAAGGCTTATTACCCTATGAAAGAAAGCTATTGGGTTGAGTTGACATGATTTGTTCTTGAGAAATTCATGCTGACTGTTACTTATCATCTTATTATCTTCTATGTGTTTAATTTCTTAATTATTTGCTCCATTATCTTTCTGGGTACTGAAGTTAAGCTGACTGGTCTGTAATTCCCCAGCTTGTCCTTATTCCCCTTTTCATAGATTGGCACTATATTTGCCCTTTTCCAGTCCTCTGGAATCTCTCCCATCTTCCATGACTTTTTAAAGATAATCGCTAATGGCTCAGATATCTCTGTCAGCTCCTTGAGTATTCTGGGATGTATTTCTTCAGGCCCTGGTGACTTGAAGTCATCTAACTTGTCTAAGTAATTTTTAACTTGTTCTTTCCCTATTTTAGCCTCTGATCCTACCTCATTTTCACTGGCATTCATTAAGTTAGAAGTCCAATCGCTACTAAACATTTTAGTGAAAACTGAAACAAAAATGTCGTTTAGCATTTCTGCCATTTCCACATTTTCTGTAATTGTTTTCCTCCCTCATTGAGTAATGGGCCTACCCTGTCCTTGGTCTTCCTCTTGCTTCTAATGTATTTGTAGAATGTTTTCTTTTTACCCTTTATATCTCTAGCTAGTTTAATCTCATTTTGTGCCTTGGCCTTTCTAATTTTGTCCCGACATACTTGTGTTGTTTGTTTATATTCGTCCTTTGTAATTTGACCTAGTTTCCACTTTTTGTGGGACTCTTTTTTTTGAGTTTCAGATCATTGAAGATCTCCTGGGTTAAGCCAGGGTAGTCTCTTGCCACACTTCCTAGCTTTCCTACACAGTGAGATAGTTTGCTCTTGTGCCCTTAATAATGTTTTTTTGAAAAACTGCCAACTGTTTTTCCCCTTAGACTTGCTTCCCATGGAATCTTTCCTACCAACTCCCAAGTTTGCTAAAGTCTGCCTTCTTGAAATCTATTAACTTTATTGTGACTATATGGACATCAATTGCTTAGATCAGTTCCAATCTCTTTTCTTCTTCCTCCATGTGCTTTTTAGACCCCCTCTGGCATTTTGCCTGATAATTTTTGTGGGATGGTCACTAACTCTAGAAGGGAGAATTGCAATATTAATCCATTTCAATTAGAACCCTTCTTTCAGTCAAATTACACAGAATTCAGTATGCATAGGGTTTAGGCCCAAAAGAGCTCCCAAAATTTGTCAAATAATTCTCTGTTCTTTGCTAAATATTGAATTAGTAACCATGAAACGAGTTAAATATTTTGGCATTTTTGTTTTTGTTCTTTCTTTTTACTAATTTGCAATTGTGATCACTCACAATTTACCCATATGTCACCCACGCACATCAGTGGGTGGGGAAATTGATGGGGACAGTGGTGAAAGGGGCACAGTCCCAGTGGCAAGGGAGGGAGGCATTCACCAGGGGACAATAGGTAGCTCCTTCCCCTGGGAGTCTCTGGCATCCATTGGCCAGCGGAGGGGAGAGGGGTGCTGATTGACCAGCATTCCCCAGCTTCCAGGATTTAACCCGGCACAGGGACCATGTGGAGCCTCTTTCAGCTCTGTTCCAGCAGCCCATCCTATCTACCAGAACTAGGAATGGGAACCCAGCTTGACAGACGCTGTGGGTCTAGCTGATTGCCTGTTTAGG